CAATACCGATAAATATAATTGAATATAATCAAGATTTAAATTTTGCATCCATTGAAATAAACCAATCAACACAATCTTTAAAGACTTTTTCTCCAGCAACAGGGTCTCTTAACATCATATGTTCACAACCTTCATATTCAAGAATTGATTTTTCATTTGTTGGAGTTGAAGCTTGTTCATATAAATCTTTAGATCCTTTACAATCAGTAACACGATCGTTTAAACCATGTTGTACCAAGAAAGGTTTCTTTACTTCTTTAAGATTTGCCCCTAACCATTCGATATTATTCTGTAATGCAAGACCAGTAGAACACCTTAAATTTCCATTATATGTCATTGGATCATTCATAAATTCCTGAAATGTGTATATATTAATGTTAAAAAGTATTAAAAGCATAAATAAACGAAGTAATAAAGTATATGTATATTCACTTCTTCTATCAAAGGATTACTACTGCATTTACCACGATGAGCAGCAAGCAATGGTAATCTTCCAAGAGGAGTTTTGGTCAAAACTTTTCCAATCATTTCAGCAATTTTATAAGGACGACTCTCAGGAGAGACATAAATGAGAGGACATAATACATTAAAAGCATCAAAATTTTCAGGATGCTTTATTGCATAAGTTAAAACAATCATTCCTCCAAGTGATTCACCAAATAAGATTGTTTTGGTACTTTTGTTTATGAGAGAGTTTTGTTCTTTCACATGAGTAATGACAAGATGAACAGTATCAACAAGTTCTTGTACATCAGAAAAATAAGCATGCAATCCACCAGACCTTCCAAAACCTGGTAAATCAGGAGCAATAATACGAAAACCTTGTTCTAAAATAGGGATACAACTTTCGGAAAATCGACCACCATAATCATTTATTCCATGAATAAAAAAGATATCAACATCACGTACTACACTTGCGGTTGGCAAAGACCAAGTTTGATAATAGATAAACCTATCAGTATCTCCATAATAAGGAAAAGGAAGTTTAAATTCAGAATGAACATAAGGTTCAGAACGCAAAATTCTTTCAGCAGGAGAAATTGGAATTAATTCTCTTCCATAAGTTAAATCATGAATAGGAACATGTAAAGTTTTTAAAACTGGTTCTACAAATCCATTACTAAGAGTATGACTCATGTTTTTTAATGGATACCAAGAACTTTTTTTTCTTTACATTCGACATTGTTGCTATA